CTTCAAAAGACAACTTTTATGCATTTCGGTATCAGTAGACAAACTTAATTACCACTTAATATTCATTATAAAGGTCAGAGAATTGAACATGTGAGTAAAACAAAATTTTTAGGTATTTTACTGAATGATAATTGTACTTGGAAGCAAAACGTTGATCTGATAAGTAATAACTTGAACAGCTTCCGTATTTGTGTTGAAAAGGTTGAGAAACATGGCTGCGTTACCAACAGCTACTCTGGCAGCCTATCATGGCTATATTGGTACCATGCTTAGATATGGACTCTTAATTTGGGGAAACTCAACCGACGCAGATACATAGACTGTTCAAAGTCCAACAAAAATGTGTAAGCGCGATCTGTGGGCTTTCCCTACGCGAGTCTTGTTAGCCATTCTTTAAATCATTGGGCATACTGCACCTTCCATGTCCGTACATATTTGAAGTGGCTAATTTCGTAAAAAACAATTTGATATTTTTCAAATGAGAAATTAAAGCAACAACAGAAGAGTAAGAGACCCAAATAGATATTTTTTTTAATAATCTACCGAAAGGACATTGGGCAAAATTGTATGGACGCGGCACCCACGTCCGCCACGGCTTAAACTACATTTATTTGAAAGTATTATTATAGTTATGTTTTTATTTATTTTTAAGCATTTAACTGCTAGATGTTTAAATCTAAAGAAAGGTTTACTAGAAAAAAATCCACGCGGACCAGGCAGCGGACGGGACTCGAACCCGCACCCTTCGCTATCCGGGCGAATGCACTGACCATTATGCTACCACGGCCCTTTTCGCCGCGTCGAAATTTTCCTAGCCTTAAGCTGCAAGGCATTGTGATGCGATACAATGCGAAGAGATGGCGCTGCCTTGCAGCTTAAGGCTAGGAAAATTTCGACGCGGCGAAAAGGGCCGTGGTAGCATAATGGTCAGTGCATTCGCCCGGATAGCGAAGGGTGCGGGTTCGAGTCCCGTCCGCTGCCTGGTCCGCGTGGATTTTTTTTTTCTAGTAAACCTTTCTTTAGGTATTATTATAGTCATGTACATCGGCGCCAAAGCGCATGAAATTCCATCCCAGGGGTCTTTAGTTATTTTAAGTTCAATAGGTACAAGTACTATAACGAACGAACATCAATGAAACAAGGGAATTAATTTAGTTAGTTCGACCCTACATAGAGGGCTCAGGTCAGGTCTTATGTTATTTTGCCGCGCTAAAATAAATCCCAAAAATCCCCGCATGGGTTGGGGTTTTTTCAAACAGGCTGATCGTTATAGTAAAGTCTTCTAAGTAAAACGGAGCGACCACAAATCACACAATCTCGTCCACGCTTCGGAGAAAACATGATGCCAATTCATCCATACTAATTGACAAAACCGATAATCGTGTTTCAATGTCCAAAGCGCGTTAGATAAAAATCAATCAAGTGATAGGGAGCGCACAATCACAACGAAGTAAGACGAGTCGACTATTTGCAACTGCAAGTCCTTCAACCCCCGTAAACCGTTTTGTGGTGGTTCAGTAAGTGCAAGCGCAGGATGGTCGGGTCAGGCTTTGTCGTATATCTGGTTGTATAGGACGATATGGCATTTTATTATGGTTACTAATAATATAAAATGAAGGAACTATAAAATGAATTTATTTAGCTACTTAAATATGCCCATGTGTGTGACGGTGTCATATCTCTTGACTACTTTTACCGGGATATCTTTTTACGGTGTCATAATAAAAAAGGCTAGTCTTTCATAGATTTATCAATTCATACTAATTACATTGTTGGCGGAGCTGGGTGTGTTTTGCCCATTGTCCTGTTGGTACTTAAAACAATGTTATTGCATGTGTGTTGTTGAAAAATAGATTGTTTTTTGTGTTACAGAAGACTTTGTTGTAATTTCTTTTACTGATAAGGTTCTAAATTTTAAAATTAGAATTAGAACGTAAAGCAATAAAATAATTTAATTGTTTTTCCATACAAACAGACATGAAATCCACGCTGACACTCATTCAGAAATGTGACTTAGTCAATATTATCGAATTTAAAATATTTTTCACGGAATGTTGTGATTTAAAAAATGCCGCGAGGATTATTAGATGTTTTACGAGCCAGAATTGTAACTTTGAGGGAAGAATGCTATTCTACGAGAGAAATAGCACGCAGAGTTGCCATATCCCAAATCCTATGTAGTAACCACGTTGCAGAGGTACCACGGCATGGGTAATTTAAGGCTAATTGACCCCGCAGCGGTCGACCAACTGTTTTGACAGCTTCTCAGAAGCGCTATATCAGGTTGCTGGTAGCCCGCGACCCAACAATACGCCTCTAAATTAAAAGTAGAAATACGGGCCGCCTCCGGAAGTTAGCACTCAGACCATTCGGAATTGCTTACACAAGGCTGGATTACGAGCACGGAGGTCTTGATGAGCACCTTTGAATTCACGGGAACGTCAGCGACGGAGATTACAGTGGGCTAGGCTCGGCCAAAACGAAGAAGCCGAAGAGGAAAACATTTGGCAAAACTGCCTCTTTGACGAATCGCGAATCAGTACCCATCCAGATAACCGACGACGTGTCAGTGTTCGGAGAAGACCTGGAGACTCTGAAAGGCAAAGAACGGCCACGGGAACGGTTCAGCAAGGCGGGAAATCAGTGTCCTTTTGGGGTGGTATTATGATTGGGGCTAGAACGCCTTTAATCCCTTATCAATGCTTCATGACGGCAGACAGATACAAAACAGTCGCTATTGATGGAATCGACAGACCTTTCTTAGTAAACCATGGGCACCAATTTGTACTGGTTGACGATAATGCGCCCGCACATCGAGCTCAACGAGTCAATGCTGCTCTCCGAGAATACGAAATCACAAGGTTAGACTGACCTGCCGGCTCTCCTGACTTAAACCCAATAGAGCACGCGTGGGATGCTCTTAAGCGAGCTGTTTGGAACCGTCAGCCACAACCCCAGACAGTGCCGCAGCTCAGGGAAGCTGCTGTTCAAGAATGGGACAGGTTACAACAAGAAATGCTGAATAACTTGATCCTCAGCATGCCCAGGAGGATCTTCGCATGTGTTCGAGCCAGAGGAGTTATTTTGTAATAGATAACCAAAAATTTATAAATAAAAGGTTTTTAATACATTAATTTTTTTATACTATAAAATAAAATCAGTTTATTTTTTAATTTCAGAACGTGTATTTTTGAATAAAAAAAGGTATAATGTAAACATTTTCTCTTGATTAAGTTAAATTTTAAAAATATATCAGCTTTTGCACGTGATCTCAAACTTTTTTTGATGTGTGAACATTGCAATACCTAATGAAATAAAATGTCTACCCAGTAAATTATTTAAATCAAAACTAACGTCTTGGCTCAAGTATTTTTTTATACCGTGAATGATGTTTTTAATGACAAATTGACAATCAAATAATTTAAATTAGCTTTTTATTTAGTATTGCATGATTTATTTTGATGAAATGAATAAATATGATTTTAGTTTATGTAAAAATATAATTTAAATTTAAAAAATTACTTGATGGAATTATTTGACCTTTATATATTGATTTTTAAAATTGTACAGTAAATAACCTTATATTAATTTAACTATTTGTCTTAATTACATGCCATTTATGGTAAAATAAATATGTAGAATCTGTTTTTTATACTTGGCATCTCATTGTGCCATATTTTTTGCAATAAAGAAATGTAATCTATGAAAAGAACACAACCAAACAAGTAGTAGTTAATTATAGAATGTTGAATTGAGATTGAAGATTTGAGATTTGAGATTAGAAGTGACGTATATTGGCACTGCAATGCACTTTTGGTAAACAATGAAGGTTAAGTATGAATTTAACGAGGTTTCCCGTAGTTTGTAATTACATACATTATTGATAACGGTGGCAGGGCACACTCATGTACGGAGGCATTTGACCACCCGCGAATGTCCCTTCAGTATAACGTAAAACCTACAAAACCTGTCGGAGCGCCGGCGCAGGCAAGCTAGCTGGCTGTGCTGCTCAGTAAGCGGTCACGCTTCTCAGGTTAATCGAAAATTATAATTTTGATCAATTGACGCTCACCAAAAACATCTACCGGAACTTTACCAACCAAAGTACAGATATTCAAATATAAGTTTCTATAAATACCTATATCATAGGATTTATGAGATTAAAAAAACGAAGCAGCAAGCAAACATTACAAGTTACAAAAAAACCGGTTTCAATATCAATCTTTTTTTATTAGATTTGGTAATTATCGATTTTGAGAAATCCAAAAATACGATAAAAAAAAGTTTAGTATTATACCTTTTCATTAATTAAAAGAATAAACCTGGCGGTTAGTAAAATTAGAGTACAGATAATGAAAGTATGATTGAACTGAAAGTAGTAAGTAACGAACAGTACAAATATTGATTACCGTGATCGACGATCTTTACACTTTTACGACATGATGCAAACGCCGAACATGATACAAGTGTCTCCAACGACTACATATACGTATAGTGCAATGGGACATCGCTTCTCTGTAAGAGAACATTCATCACAAAGAATTTCTTATTTCTTAATTAGCATTTAATCAAGGGATTCATTTAGTAACATTCATTATACGATTTACGAGCTCGGAAAGTCGACTTTCTCACGCCACTGTTGTATGAACATTCAGTAAATAACTAAATGAAAATTAAGAAACTTTGTCTTGATAAAGAAGATTCTTTAAATAACATTCCTTCCGCGAAAGCGAATTTAGAAATGACAATTGATTAATTTTCACTCTTTACTGGTGAAAGCTGTATGCGCAAAAAGTTTAATTTGACAAACATGTGTGAAGAGTGAAAACGTAAGTTGTTAAACTAAATTAAGCGTGGAAAATAGCTGAAAATTTGAGACAAAACGAAAGGCTTCAGAGGAGATGCGCGCGGGGAGGTGCGCGTACGCACGGGGCGTGGCCTCCGGGGCGCGCGCGCTGCTCACCGCGGTCTCAGCGCGCGCGCTGCCAGGCATAGCCGTTGCGGATGCTGCGGCGGACGCATCAGTGCTACGCACATTTACGCCTACCACTTTGCATAGGACACGCGTGTTTGAAATTCGACTTTATATCAGTGTGGAATGACTCTTTGTGAAAATTAAGTGACACTGTGGCATTAATAACAATTCAATAGCGTCTGCGCATCGCTGGAACATCCCTACGCGGTATGTACAGATATCTGTGCAATATTTTATCCGCTTATCATCACACACTAACTTTAGCATGTTCTGATTGTGAACACAAACTATTCTTCTTGCGAATATCAACAGCAAATAGTTACAACCTACTTTACAAACTGAACTTAGTGCAATTATTTATAATATACCGGTCTGATAACTACGAGTATTATCTAATTAGAATAGTTGGGTGTCCTTTTTTAAAATTCCTATTACAAAACCAAATTTCGTAAACGCCTGTATGTCTATTTTTTTTTGCTTTGACCCTATTTTTTTAATCATAGATTTGATATTAAATAATTTTAATTTTATATTATTATGTTTTATAAATTATATTACTACAAACCTTAAACTGTAGTGGGTCAAAGAAAAGTTCTACTTGTTGATATCAGTACAGTAGTCATTTATCTTATAAGCATTTGAATTGGTTAAGATTCACACTACAAGACTCAGAGATAACTCATAAATAATTTAGAGAACTTTGATTTCATTGAATATTATTAGTGACTTTAAAAAGAAATGAAAGTATACAGCTTAAAGTAAGTCTCATATATGATGCTTCAAAACCTCATTTGTAATATTTTCACTCACATGCGTATTAGTATTTAAGAGTTAGAAAATAAAGTGCATAAATGAATTAGTACGTATTTCTATTGCTACGGAAATTGCACTAATCTAGACGAGTAGGTCAGTAATTAGGTATAGCACTGAGCTATAAAACGTAAGCAAGAAGCAATAAATTCATCCGATGGGCAAATACAACGAGGCCGCATGCCAAACCTCATCAAACGTGCGGCTGATCTGTAATCTAGAAAGCTTTCTGCTGATATTTAACGGCCCATATTAGTCACAGTTTTTTCAGTGTGTGAATTTCTTTAGCTGTTTATAAAACATATACGTAGCTTTCCATTATCCCCCTACTTTTATACTAACACTAGAGTCACTGAAATGTGGAATTGACATTGAAATTCAAGTTTCCGGCTTAGTTATATATATATATATATATATATATATGTATATATAATATAAGGTGGAAATTTCTACAAACACAGTACCATATCTAACGATACGTTTGATAAATATGTATAATTTTATAAGAAAATATATAAAATGCTTTGAAGTTTTACGAGAGGTGTGGAGTTAATAAGAAGAAAACCTGGCGAGATATCGTCACCGGACTATAAATAAATAGTAGTGGATCTATTTAATAAACTAGCAGACTATGGGTGGTAGATGGGTGAAAATTTCGGGTTGTAGGTATTTTGTAAAAAAAAAGGGGGATGGACCATCATTATTTCCACTTAGGGGTAAGAAAACGTTGATACTTTTAACACAGAGCCATCTATTGAATACTTACTCAATCCAGTCAACAGATATGCCATCTGTTAGAATCGTTTGGAGCTAACAGATAATTGTGAATGTCAAATAATAAACAAATAATTTGTAATTAAATAATATTGCGACTTTAAATTGAACTATAAGCTTCCCTATCTTTCAAGTTGGATCAAACTGCACACGGTGTGCAAATATCAATAAAATCGGTTAAGTAGTTTACGAGTCCATCCAGGACAAACAACGTGACGCGTAATTTATATATATTAAGATATTCGACAATTGGAAATAATATTTTTCGTCTTAACAATTTACATTATGCGACCTTGTCTTTAAAACTAGATACATTTTTTACTCCGTAAATTATGTTAATAATATTGCAAATGGAGATCAAGCTGTGCAACAACATTTAACAGAAATCTAATATTACAAGCAATTTCACACTGCAAAAATATATTTTTATTATAAGCATGAAACTGATACATAAAACTAGTAGAGAATAAGTCTAAAGTAAAATTTACTAGAAAAAAATGCACGCGGTCCAGGCAGGATTCGAACCTGCATCTTTTAGCTATCTAGGCGGACAAAATAACCAATCTTGTTAATAAAAAAGAAATAATAGCTTTCTTGGTAAAAAAATACTTTTTAGATTTATTTACCTTCACAAGCTATTATTATTATTTTATAAAGTGGCTAAAATAAATGAGATGATAAATAGTTGAGTATGCTACTCAAAATGTTAATATTAAAATGTACAGTAGGAAGTACGTTCATGTACAAAAAAGGAAAGCCGACATTCCAATTCCGATTGATTTTTATAATCCTACACTAGTAACTGAATAATGCATATTGAAGAAATAATTTATGAATAAAGTCGAGTTTAATGGTATTAACGACGATTTTTTTTAATAACTAAATAAATACCAAAGACGTTTTTACGCAAATCACTTACAAATAAATAAGATAACAGTTATCAAATTATAAGTTTATCAAAATGCTACTACTAACACTGCAGACAAATTATAATACTTGCGTAATTAAAAAATAAAAATGATTCAGTGGGTGTCGCATAAATCTTTCATTAGATATTACGAATACAGGACACAAAAATAACGATAGTAGAAGGTCACTTCAATTTATAAATCAAGTGTACGTGAATGTATTAAATAACCTAACTACCGCTATACTAGGTCTCGCCATTGAATTCACCGAAACTGATTGACATTTAGTTGCTCACGTGCAGACACTTTTATTGCCGACTTATACTCAATTTCATTTCTCAAATAAAACCATGCAACTGATGCGTGATCTGATGATAAATAAGATGTAATAAAAACCCGTGGGGTTTTGATAATAATTAGCAAAATGGTAGTTAATTTACAATAAATATGTAGGTACATATTTATTACTTGAAAAAGCTCGTTAGTTAATATTTACACACATATTTGGTTTTTGTCAATGTTTAAGAAAGTTTTAAGCATAATATTTGGAGGTACTTATAATGCACGATTCAAAATGTAAAGGATATAAAAATACATACTGCCGTTTATAACAGCATAATTTGCACCTCTAGGACTTAGTTCTGTAACGCGACCTGTTATTAGAAGCATTTTATTCTGATGGCTAATTTAACTCCCTTGAGAAGCATCACCATAAACCATATCTTGTTAATGTGTCGTTAGAATTAGGGGTCTTGGGAGTCCAGGGACCATTATAACAACGCTCCTAGCGGGCAGAACATAAATCAAGGCGTTGGTAAACTAACATTAGTTAAGAGGCGAAGCGCATTGCCGGCCTGAATATCATAATCATCGGCCAGACCAACTAACGCTAATTATTAGTGTGTATCGCTACTGGCTCCTGAAAGCTACTTAAAGCCTCGGGGCCCTATCATTGCATAACGACGTGGGAAGAGCGATCGGTGAAGGGCAATATGAGAGCAAACACTTATTAAATCGACGATGATGATTTCATACCGGTCAAGGAAACTATCGGCGGAAAATAAACTAGGCACTTACATACATCTATTTTTCTATAGTTAATTAAAACTACGTAATATATATTGCTCGGTGGGGTAATAAAATTGTTATTACGTGGTATTAATAATAACTTAAAAGGCATACGTAAGCGCAAACGCGACACCAATCGAGATTCGCCTTGAGCAGTTGAGTGAGTGAGGTACCGACGATTAAATTAATACAACGACAATGAAAAATTTGGCGAATAGCTTTACGGTTTGTAGGAAATATTTAAAAATGATAATCAGTAAATACAATTCCTAATGAATCGCCACGCACATAAAATCAATAGTGAATAATATTAGCCAATCCTTGTACCGGATAAAAGCAAATGCATGTTCTGTTTGTAAAGCAAATTCTATAATCAGCGTGCAATTATAATTAAGGGCCATAAATTTTGTTCATACGCGGAACATGTCCGAGTCCGGCACAACCACCGGGTGAAAGCCCGTAAATTATACTGTGAGTAAATAAAGACGCAGGATTTAATCAGCAATAAAGTCTTTAAAATTTAAAGCAATTCGCTTTTAAAGGATTTATTTAAACCAAAGAATATCTCAGTGTAAGATTTTGTTACAAATGGGCGATAGATTGTTAAGAAACAAAGTAAACAAACATGTAAGGATAGAATTAACATTGGTCAATAAACTTGGTAATTTGAAAATCAAAGCACACCACAACCTACCCTAACGTACTGTTAATATAAATGGTAGTGAATGTTTTAGGGCACGCGCAGGGTCCATTAAATCGGAAGGTATGCATGTCAACGTGAGTCAACAAGAGGTGGCGGCGCGGCGCTCCCGGGCGACAAGTGTGTAGTATTTGCGCTTTACAAACAACAATCCCGCCGTGTCTGGTAAAATGCACTTGTGTCGAAAGGATAATACCCACTCGGCTTCTTGGATAACACACTGACGCCACAAGGTCGTTGATAAAATATGTATAGACGTATGCCTTCCAAAAAATATTTTGGGTATATTGTCAAAACTTTTTAAACTTATAGACAAACAAATTGAACTTTTAGAACGGAACGACATAACGAATATGAGAGCAGGCAACAAGATATAATATATATATCTTGTTGCCTGCTCTCATATTGTAGAAATTATAGAATACGATTTTAATATAGGACTTAGCACATCCCATATCTGCGAAGATGTAAATCTGTTTTCTTAACCTCCATACTAAGCGGGCGTATCAGTTGCGAGATGAGAGAAAGTACCGGCTTATACATTTCGTAACATATAAAACCCGCAAGTAAATACAAATCCAGAAATAAAGTTTGATAGTGATGTGTCGATTATATATTAAGTCATCATCACCTTAAGTACCAAATTGCCAATCTTTCTTTTTGAAGTGAAACTTCTTTACGCACGCTTGACTTGGGGGGTACGCTGGCGAATGCGTATATATTGTACTGTACACACACACACACACATAAGCACACTCGTTTTTTAACCGACGACAAAAGAGGAGGAGGTTCTGTGTTCTTTTCTATTCTTATATAAGCAAATTTCAAAGCAGAAATTCACTACTCGTCGATCAGATATTCATGCAATCATTACCATTTGATCACTGTTTGAAAAACAGGTTCGTGTACCGAGAGCACATTATGACGTGGAATTGTAATTTGTAGCA